AGACTCAACAGCCGTCCTGTCTCACAGATCAGTGGATCGTCGGTCTATGAACCCTAGACCCTAAACCCTGGACCGACTTGTACTTCTGACAAGGAGCACAGCGATGGAGGCGTGTTGAGTCTGGTGAGGCATCAAAACAGCCGTGCCATTCATCCACCTTAATTCACAATGGACCTCAGCGCCACTTGGGTGATCATGGGGAGAGAGAAGCCGCCAGGCCACGTGAATGACGGCATGCATCACGTGTGCTGTGTTGTGCTGTCTGTGTACTGTGTCGTCCTGCGGTCGATGTGGTGCAGATGGTTGCGTTGCGTCTGAGGGAGCAGCTGCTGCCGCAGCCTGAGTTCACTCCCGGACTCATAGGCATCCTCAAGATGAACCAGACTCAGGCAAGTAGCCGACTCACACACCCACTGCTTCACTCAGACACTCATTGCTCATAGCTTGTTTGCTTGTACTGCCTGTTGGGTGTCTGTCTGTGTGGTGTGTGCAGGTCAACAAGGCCATCGGACGATTCTCACTGGTGGACACCGCTGAGCTGACAACACAGGTGTGCTGTTTGCTGCAAAGCAGACAGACAGACAGACAGACAGACAGCCGCACACCAACCGGCACATTGGGTCGTGTCTTGGCTGTGGCGCTTCTTCGTCAGATGGTCACCGACGTGAACCGTCAGCTTGCGGCTGCGTCGGACCACCTGGCCCAGCTGGCACACACCATCGAGACCACCATCGCGCAGACAACACATGACGGTGAGCCTGCACACACACACGTCAAGCAAGATCGAGCACACACCTGCGACACACGGCTTTCTCTCTCTCTCTCTCTCTGTGTGTGTGTGTGTGTGTGGTTGTCAGGTGAGGACAATACCGACTCTGCCACACAGAACAACACGACCGGCGGCCACGCACAGGTGTGTGACCCCACACACACAAACGGACTGACTACGCCATGTGCACCGCTTCCGTGTGTGTCTGTATGTGTGTCATCAGGCCCCACTGTTGCATCTCTACAACATCCCCGCCGAGCTCCTGGGCACCGTCATCGCAGCATCTGACCTCATCACCATCGCCCACCTCAAGTCGACAGCCCGACCCATCAGAGATGCTGTGCGCCCCATCGCCCGCAGCCTTCGGCTGCCGAAGGCCATCGAGCGGGCGGGGGTGAGTGGTGTGGTGCACTTCGACGATCAGCTGGGCCACAGCGATGTGATGAAGGCCATGTGGATGATGGAGGAGGGGGGCGAGGGCGGCTGGCGGGAGGCGGGCGGGACGCTCAGACTCGCCGAGCATGGCGGCTATTGTCAGCTGCCGCTCACTGTGGGTGCTGCAGACCTGCAGACACACGCCACCAAGGCGGTAAGCACGACACACAGAAGAGGCAATGGGTGAGCTGCTGGATGGGTGTTTGGGTGCAGGATTTCTTGGCGCTGCCTCGTGTGTTTGCGCAGTGGATGCTCGTCGGCCGCTATGTGGCCCTCCGGCGCCCCAATGGCTAGCAAGACGGCACACTCGAGCTGTTCCGCAACAACAACAACGAGATCAGGGTCATCCGCAACGAGCCCGGCTTCGCCCTCACCATCAACCCGCCCCTCCCCCTCCCCACCGGCCGCCCCGTCCATCCCCTCTCGCAGCACCCCTTCCAGAAGCACGCCAAGCCACACGACCCGCCCATCGGCAGCCGCATTGGGCGGCATCATGGTGTGGGCTGGGCGACACTTGGCGTCAATGATGGAAATGTTTTCGCATCGGCGAGTTCCATGCTGAAGCAGCTGCTCCTGCATCACCGGAGGCTGGCTGTGGGCGGTGTCATCCTCTCGCCAACGGTGGTCGTAGACCGGTACGTGGATGGACGGCCCACCACGACAAATGAGCCATGCTGTGTATCGTGCGGTCATGTATGTGCCAGGGCTGCCCGAGGTGGCCACCTGGACCGCATCATCACCCAATCGCCACATACGCCCCTCGACGGATGCTCGGATGTGACGGCACTTGAGACGGCCACTGGGAGCTACTTGTGGTATTGTCCGCATGCAGTACGCGTCAAAATCCGAACCAGCGAGGCTCCAGCAGCAGGTGTGGCCCACGATGCGCCCTTTGGGCATCGGTTCCCACTGACGGCCGCCAAGGTGCGTCCTATCTCGGTTCCATCGGCCCCATCGTGTTGGACGGGAAGGCACCATAGACACGACCATCGATCGACACACCAAGGTCAGAGCCGCACACTATGACGACGCTGAGACCTGATGTGTCTGCCTGTGTGTGTGTGTGATGTTGCGTGTCTTGGTGTGCACTATGTAGGGTGGCTTGTTGCTTGGATGCGGTGAAGGAAGGGCCCTATTACCTGGCTCACCTGGACCTTATATCAGTCACATTGCGCATGTGGACGTGTCATGCAATGCGTTGAATCTCATGGATGGACAAAGGTCATGTAAATACCCAGACATCTATCCACCATCGACGAAGGTCTCAAATGGACAGACGGACCACACACCTATCTCCCTCGCACAACATAAGATGCGATATCCCTCATCCTGAAGTGCCCTCCCTCCACGTGGCAGTACGTTGCTGCCGCCCAACACCACAGCCTTCGCACTCAACCCGCACAGAGACTCGAATCGACAGACATCGATACAGGTGGGCTTTGGGCTTGGCCTGCCATACCTAAAGCATTACTTTTCGTATCTTTGTATCTACTGTCTCAGCTGTCGTGTGCGGCCAGTCGCTCTGCACACACACGCACACAAAAAGAGGGAGAAGCAAAGCGAGACACAGATGTGGATGGCTGAACTGAAGAGGTACGTGGGCTTACTCACCGTGGTGCCGTCGGCCGATAGCACACTCGACTTGAAACAATCCTGCTGGGCTGAGAGCGTCGCTGATGTGAGAAAAGAGTCCACAAATATAAAATGCAGGCAGCAATTGACCATGCCACGCCAAAACGTCATGCCACTCCAGTATCCCAGTGGCCGTGACTGCTCACGTCTCGCCTCCCGATCCGTCAGCAGTCAAGCAGCTGCTGAGTAGTGGGATGCAGTCTGCCGGGCAAGGCAAGGCAAGCCGAGTCGACGTCTGGCGAGAGACATGAGTGGCGTAAGCGAGTGACCCGCTCGGCCCTAGTTGTTGCTGTGATGCTCTCAGGCGCGTCGGCAGTCGATGGCAGCCTGTTTGGCGTCCTGGTTGCCCATTCGCCGCACATAGAACGCCTTGATCTTCTTCATGAGGCCCCCCGAAAAGTGGGACCCACGCGTTGTCTCTGGGATTGTAGTGCACGCCCCTGACACCGCTCAGGTGCTGGACCAGGTTCCGCATCTATGCCCGTCCGCCCGGTGTCCTCCATCTCTCTCCGATGGCACTCAGAAGGAGGACATACACGCATAGACGCATACACACACACACACACACACACGAGGGGGTGGTCAATCGATCAACGGATGGATGGATTTGTGTGTGAGGGGGGTGTGTGTGTGTGTGTGAGGTGTGTGTACCTCGGCTTTGGCGAGCCCGTGAGATTGCACCTCTCAGCTCGCCAGCAGACACCACATCACGCGTCGAATGACAGGGCGAGCAGCCAGCAGAGGCCACATTACGTCACGCATCGGCAAACAGACGGATGAAAGGGTGGGCAGGCAGGCAGATATAGGGTGGAGTCAGACAAGGCAGCCAGAGTTATGTGTATGTGTTTCTTGTATGAATGTACTGTGTCAGGGCAGCCGCAGAGCAGCTGCTACGGGCGAAAAATCGGGCGAGTGAATGCACTCGAGGCTGCCATTGCCCACAGGCAGACTAAAGACCTTCCATAGCCTGTCTGTGTGCAATGGCAGCCTGTTTCGCTCCCTCGTAACAAAACTGGAGGACAGGGAAGGCTTTCGTCTTCTTCATTCGGCCTTTCTCCAAAGTCGCGACCCAGCTGTTGTCCTTCTGGTTGAAGTGGACACCCCTTACACCGCTCTTGTGCTCAGAATGCTTGGCTACGCCTGTCTGTGCGATGCGGTCCATCCGTCGTCGATGCTCCTCAGCCAATGCCTGGCAGAAAGCGGACACAAGGGTGGGTGATGCACCCATTTGGTGTTCGGTTGTGTTGTCCTTTGTGTGTGTACCTTGGCCTTCGGAAAGCCGTGCTCTTTGACGTTGAACCGCTTGAACTTTCGCAGCTGCTTGTGGCCCTCCCTCTCGTACCATGAAGCGACCCACGCCTGCACGTCTCCACGCCAATAGACACCATTGACCTTTGACGTGGGCACCTCTGAGAACATACACACAGACAGACAGACCAATATGTCCCTCTTTCACATGATCAGCTTCGAATTCACCGAGCTGCTGTTGGTGTGGGCGGCCTTCAGCAGCGGCCTTCTTGGGCACCGGTCGCTTGTTCTTGGGATCGCCTTCCTTCTTGACTATTGCCTTCTTGACCGACTCGCCGGACGTCTTCTTCGATTGACGCTTGTGTTGGTGGGCGGCAGGTCCGTTATGGTCGTCACCGTGCTCGTGACCTGAACAAGAGGAGCCACAGGTCGATTCGTTCGTTCATTCATTCATTCGTCTGTCTGTATGTGAGGTGCTTCGTGTGGGCGTGTCGCGGGTGCTTACTGTCCAAGTACTTTTGGTCCTTGGGGATGACTGACGGCGTGGGTGCTGGCTTGTGGCACAACAGTACCACCTCATCTGCATGTAATGGCACACAGGACAGGCATCCATCCGACTGCACCGAGTGTGTGGGCAGAATGGTTAACGGATCCTCTCCCTGTCCTCCTATCGCGCCTTCCGTGGCTGCAACTTCATCGCGCGCCTCAACAGACTTCACAGGCTCGTGGGCGCAGGACACACAACCCTCTATCAGGTGGGCGTCTTCTCGCGGGTCTCCTTTGGCTTTTTGGCGGCCTTCTTGCGGGCACCTCTCTTCTTGGAAGTTGACTACTACTATAGACCTTCTTCAACATCTGCTTTTGCTTGAGGCAACCCAGGAATGGAACACACAAAGCACTGCAGCGGTCAGCGTCGTCGTCGAGGTGGAAGAGGGGCTAGAAGGGAGATCGATGGGAGGTTGAGGGAGGGCGGCTCGAGAAAACGGCTGAAGGGAGGCTCTGTAAATCACTGAATCATAAATCACGCCGTCTCGGCTAGAATTCTCGACACCCATCCAATTCACTCAGAAGGCTCTGACGCCACATTCTATTTGTCAAATTGACCACAGCCAACTTGTCGTGTGGTAATTCAAGTCAGCTGAAAGCCTACAAGGATGATGGTGCATATATATACAGCGTGTCCAATCTTATGAACGCAACATGTCTGTCATACGCACAGGCAAACAGGCGGCGGGGTCATTGCGTGTGTGGACATAGCATGTGTTGAATGTCATGGTGGGGTCAGGTCCTACAAATACCCATACATCTATCCACCATCGACGAAGCTTACACAAGCGAATGCCTCCCACCATCCGATGGACAAACAAACAGACCAGCTCACTCATTTTCTCCCTCATACGCAACCTCCCCCTCGCCGCCCACCATCCTCTTCTTCTCGAGCATTCGCGAGCACTGCCTTACTGACTGACTGCAGGCATCTTGCGATCAGCCGTCGGTTCATCATCTCCTTACGATGCCTTCCTTGGCTGTCGGCCCCGTCTGTGCGGCTGGCGGTGGGGGGAGGGGGTAGGACCCTGACGGCTGAGTGCTGAGGGTCTCCTCCGGCTGCCCGCCGAACAGCGGCCGTAAGTACTCCCTGTCCAATGCTGACCACCTGCACACACAACACGACAGACTCCGTGTGGCTGTCTTTTTCGGACGGTGTGATTGAAGCCACCATTTGGCGAGTCCCTTCTTTCTTGGCTCCGCGGCTGGCTGTGCCGGCTCTGCATTCTCCCTCGCATCGTGGCTCACGCGCCGGGAAGGAGACAAGGGCAAGCTCTCGTACCTGCAAAGAAAGGCAGACAAGGGACACATCCATCCATGCGTGTCTCGGTGTGTGTCGTTCCCTCCTTCCCGCCCTCCCTCCCTCCCTGCCTGCCTGCCTGCCCCACCTGCTGCTGGGGGACTCTCCGGGATCAAGTCGAGCATGTGCCCCGCCGCCAGCCCGGTCGGCCGAGCGGCCCTCCACAGCAGCTGATGGTGCTCCGTCCAGGAACGGCTGCTTCAGAGGGAGGGCGTCGGCATCCTGAAGGAGGTAAGGTAAACACATGCCGTATATTCTGGAGAGTTGGTGAATCCATGGAAATACGGCCCTCTCTCTCTGTATGTGTACCTTTGCAATGCCATCAGTGGCTTTGAGTAACCTGAGGGCGAGTGGGGTGAGGCCATCAAGAAGCAGCACAGACAGCACAGACACACCTGACGGGAGTGAGAAACGCATCCAACACAGGGGAGAAATGAATGCACGACCGTCTGTACTTGCTGTCTGTGCCCATCCTTACCGACGACGGTGGTGTTGAGTAGCCGGTCAGAGTCCGCCCGCATGTCAAGAGGTGGCGTGCGAGCAAGGATCAGAGCGTATGCCACGGTCCCTGCACATACACAGATGGGTGTCACTCCATGGATGCCTGTGTCGTGTGAGCTGACCCCTGATGCCCCCGGTGAGTGCGAGTAGGAGCAGCTCCTTCCCCTTTGGTTCGCTCATGAGTGCCTCGGGGGAGCAGCAGCGGATGAACAGACGATCACACACATACACGATGCCTGCCAACAATACAGACACAGTGAACGAGCCGCATTCTCTCCTCCTGACGCATCGGTGTACCTGCGATAGTGTACAGGATGGCGAATCTTAGGGCGATGACAAGGAGGAAGAGCACGAGTATGAAGGGTATCGACAAGGCCCCCGGCCGCCGCCACGCGGCCACCAACGCGAAACCAAACGAACCGAACACCATCGCCTCACCAAAATAACTGCAGAGTGAACAGACGACACGCATGTGACTACACAGTTTGATGTGACTGATGTGATGTGCCTTACCTAGCGACTTTGGTGGCTTCTGTGGCGACTACCCGGCCCTCCTGAGACAGACTATGCCTACAAACACCACATCAATGCGTGCAGCAACGTAATGCGGCCCTCCATGCTGTTCTCTTGGTCGGCTGACCATGCATAGTTGGCCATGGTGAGTGCGGTGCACATGAGTGTGAGCAGGGGGGAGAACTGCAGGTAATCCGCGACCACATAGCCCAGGTACGCCCATATGAACAGCAGCGCCACAGAACGGCTCGGATAGCGATACAACAAATACGAATACGGCGAATCGGAAAGCTGCACACCACAGAGGCAGAGAGACAGCACGCATGAGCGCATACGCCCCCCAGTGAAATGCAATGCACGCTACGCCGCTTGACCTGATTGTAAACAAACGATATGGTGAGGCCAAACAGGAAGCCCGTCGACGCCGACGTGATGAGGAAGTAGAGCACCTTGAAGCCCACCAGACCCATGGGGGGCCACTGGGAGGGCTCAGGAGGCGGCTCAGCAGCCACAGCACATGACAGCAGGATGGCGACTATGTTGTTCAACAGACCCTCTGCACAGCCGTCCATCCATCCATCCATCCATGTATCGAACGGCGGTGGGTGCCTCATCTCTCTTGCCTCAGGTACCTCCGATGAGCAGTGCCCTCAGCTTCGGGAAGCGGTCGGCGGGGAACTGACACATGCCAGGCGTGCACTGCACATCAACACAAACACACAGACAGAAGAACACCAATATAGCACACACGCACCTCTCTCTGCCTTCACTCCGTCAGCGCTATTCTGACCTCCACGGCCACCAGTGCGGCTGCAAGCGAGATGCCCTGGTACACTGACGCGTTGATGGGCTGCCCGTCGAGAGTCGTGAAGTGGGAAAAAAGGCTGTTGATGACCAGCATGAGGGCGGCGAAAAAGATGAGAGATGCCACGATACCGAAGTGCATGATGTACCGGCCAGCCGCCATCAGACTTTCCCTGCATGCATCGGCCCAGCCAGGGACAGACAAATGTGAGTGGACAGACAGCACAGCATCCACCCACACTCTCCCACGCCATGCTGACCCTGTCGTGTTGAATCCCATGTTGAAGATGATCGGAGGCAGCAGGTATGCGTACAGGTCGGCGAACTTGACAGCCGACTCCTGCTCGTACGCCACGTGGAGAATGATGCCCATGAAGATGCCTACACGAAGCCGCGCACACCCATTGCACCACCGCCTGTCTGGCTGGCTGGCCGTGAGTGCATGTGTGTACCAAGGATGATGGCCATCCCGGGGCCTTGCAGGTATTTGTGCTTCATCCTCTCAAGCCTGCCCACAACATACACATGTTATGACACACACCGGGTTTCTCTCGTTGCTCATGACTCACCAATGTGATAAGCAGAGATAGACCAGAAGGATAAGCACATAGAAGAAAGCTGCACACATACGCAGAGATCCCACGCATGATCAGCCGTGATGCCCCATCTGACTGTTTGCTGCCTTACTCGAGAGGTCAAACACATGCCGGTCAAATGTTTGCTGCATGCTTGATCTATGGTGGGTAGCAATAGGCAAGTCGATTCACCACAAGCTGATTGACAGATCTGTTCTGAAGCGATGTCGCCAATTTGTGCGAGCTCATTCCGAGTGCTAGCTAAGCTCGCGAGCGCCGTGCCGTTCTCTGTTTCTCCTCCCCTCTCCTCTCGTCCCGTCAGCCTCCGCTGCGTGCTCTGTGCCTTCTCCACGGATTGAGTCGGGTCTTGCCGCAATTTCGGCACGGTAGAAAGAGGCCCCAATCGAGCGCGCAACAGGCTGAATGTGTCTGTTGACTGCCCACTTTGTGTTCCTATGCAGGTAGGCCTGGAGAGCATTGCGCGAGGCCCTCTTCCCAGTTCTTTCCAATGGCGATGAATGCCAGCCTGATTGCGAATATGGATCCCGATGTCAGTGTGTGCAGCAGAATTGACTGGACCAGGCGGTACTACAAGCACAGGGAGGCCCTCGGCGCCATCCGTCCCTCTGTCGACAACACGTGCCCCAAAACACTGGAAATCGGCCTGCATGAGGTGGCGGGGCGGGCGAGGGCCTTTCGTGAGCACTGCAGACAAGCCGAGATCAACAAGGAGAATCGCAAGCTGGTGGAGAGGCTATTCGAGATCAGCCGACAGTCACACTCCAAGCAGATGACCCTCCGCAAAGGTCGTGCCTCGCCGACAACCGACAGCACGGCCGGCTCCCCGCCGCCTGCCAGTGACACGAACCCGCCGGAGGGCCAGCGGGAGGGCGACAGTCCCCCTCCCCCCTCCCTCCCGCCCCCCGTGTCGCCCATGACGGCATCCAAGCTGGAGTCGCTCCGCACTTTGCACGAAGGCTACCGACGGAAGAAGCAGGCGGCCATCAACGCTGAGAACGAGGCCCTTGTGCGCCGCATCGTCGGCAGCAAACCCACATTCGACATCAGGGGCCTTGAGAAGGACTACCAGATGTCGCGCAAGTACAGGGACATGCTCATGAAGATGCACGGCAAACAGCGGCTGGGCAAGCTGCCGCCCCTGGTGCAATCGAGGAGGTCCCATGCTCTGGGTCGCCCGCAGCCTGCGAGTGCTGATGAGGCCATGACAAGAGGGATGGCTGAAGATGCTGGTGAGGAGGAGGTGGAGGAGGCGAGACGAAGGAGCAGCTCCGTGAGCGAGACAGCCAAGGATGGGACGGTAGGAAGCGGGGTCGGCAAATGGAACGACTCTCATGTGGTCCCACATACCCAGACCTACGCGTTCTGGCTGCCTGTCTTTTGTGTGTGTGAAGTTGCTGCCTACGGTGCGACATCAGCCACGGGCGAGTGTTTTCTACTACGCAGGTGTCCATGCCCCTCCTCAGCCTGGGTCCCTCCTCGACACGGCCAAAGGGGGAACACGTGGGGCACCTGCAGCCAAACAAAAGATGACGGCACAGAAGCCCAAGGCCGCCGCAGGCAGGGGCAAAGCACCACCACCACCGTCAGGCAGCTCTCTCAAGGCCACACAGAAGGAGGGCCTGCGGGCGACCGCCAGGACGCCTCAGAAGGCAGAGAAGCTCAACTGGACACAGAAAGATGAAGAGACGCAGAAGAGAGGGTATGGGGCACCACACACACGCACTCAAGAGACATGAAGACAGTACAGGGCTAATGCCCCTTTCATTGCAGGTGGGTGGCCGGCGGCGGGCCAGCACGTAAGGCGCCCCCTGCCCCTCCTCAGGAACCACCTGACGAGTCCCTCGACGCGAAAGCCAAAGTGGTGCATCGCGGCGACCCCCACGCTACTCCCGTGGCTGTTGGCGAGGGGGCAAGTGAGAGCGATCTGCAGGAGGCGGTCGACGAGGCCAATCGCATGCCAAAGAAGAAAACCGAAGAGGTCCTCCTGGCCGCAGTCAAGGACGAGGAGGCGGCGAAGGTGTCGGAGGAACAAATCGACGACACCAAAGTCGCGGGTACCAAGGGAGGGAGGGAGGGAGGGAGACATGTCATGGCTCTCGGGAGGGGAGAAGACACACATTTCTCGTCTGCTGTTCAGACGTGCTGGAGGCTGAGATCAACGAGGAGGAGCCGCCAGAGGTGACAGAGGTGACTGAGGTGAAAGAGGAGGTGACTGAGGTGAAAGAGGAGATGACTGAGGTGAAAGAGGAGGTCAAGGAAGAGGTCAGAGAGGAGGTCATCGACGTCACCAAGGAAGAAGAAACGGCGGTCACAGATGAAGCAAGCAATGAGGAGACGCCAGAGGCAGAGGAGCAGGTGCCCGAAGAGACCAAGGAGGAAGAGAGCAAAGAAAAGCAGGGGCAGCAGCAGCAGCTGGAGCAGCAGCAGGAAGTCGAGGACCCCTATGCAGCTGATAAGTTCGAAGAGGCATAACCTACCTAGCGGTGGGGAAAGGGAGGGAGGGAGGGAGGACCGATCGCTTTGTTGTTGGTTGAGATTTGTCTCAACGTGTGGCGTGCGTGGGCGCGTTTCATTGTATTGGATCTGTTATGCATGGTCTGCAGGAATAATGGCTGTCCGATGAACACAGCCACAGCTACACACACATTGAAGGTGCTCAAATCCACGGGCTGCCCAAAAAAGGGTGCAGCTCAACCGCAAAGCAGCAGCACATGTCCACACGCTCACATGCACACATGCACCGGCCCCTCATAAATCATCGCCGTAAGGCAAGAGGGAGACTGGCGATTACACTCACGTGCAGTGCACGGACCCAGGAATCGATGAATCGCTTGAGCAAAACGTAGGCCACCTGTGTGTATGGATGTGTTCTCTGCGCCACACACAGATGGCCCCCTGGCAGCAGCAGAAAGCCGCCACATCGGACGCCATTAAGGCCCATGACCAGCTCTCCGCCTCTCGACAGAGCAGCTCTGGTGGCTGACGCTGACGAGAGCTGCACTGTCGACGCGTCACACCATACACGATGCCAGCGGCCACCACCGGTAAAGCACCAGATCAGATGATCGATCACACACCATCGAGCCACAGGTCCAGGCCGCCCTTCCCTTTGGGCACGAGCATCGGGCAGTTGGGCTGGTTCCAGCTCTCGAAGTAGCCGGCAATCGACGCGGAAATGTCGGTCGTCAGGCGGAAGCCATCGAGCTGAAAACCACACACACACACGCTATTGGAAGTTGTGTGATACGTTGGTGCGGGTGTGGTGTGTGCGTACCTGCCACAGTCTTTGGATGTAGCTCTTGATGTTGGGGTGATCAGATATCCTGCGATGGGTCAGCTTGTACCTGAACCACACACAGAGTCGCACAAGGAAGGAGTGACCACAGGCAGAACGAGCAGGGTCTCTTCGTGAGTGTCTTGCGCACAGTACAGTGTGTAGTAGATGGGGTCGAATCGGATGAGGTGCACGTAGGCATGGATGTCGGCCACCGTCAACTTGTCGCCCATCACAAAGGTGCGGCCGTCACCGAGACAATCGTCCAGCTTGGCCAGATAACCAAACACCTGCAGACAGGGACAGAGATAGAGACAGACACACGCACAGAAAAGGCTCGTGCGGCCCCGTTTGCCTCTGCGTCTGGCCTTCACCTGATCGTTGAGCTCGTTGAAGCGTGTCTGGTCTTTTGTGAAGCCGCTCTGGTAGAGAGGCTTGACGAACTCGGCCCCATACTTGTCGCAGAAATCATCAATCGCCGCTCTCTCGGCCACCGGATACAGATCCAGCTCTGGGTGCTTGCACGCCTTGATGTGGTTGAGCTTGTCGCTGCTGAAGAAGCGGGCGATCTCGGCACTTTCGGTGTTGACGATCTTTTTGCTGTGGGTGTCGAAGAGCACGGGGATGGACGCGCGGCCGCTGAAGCTGGGGGTGGTCATCTTGTAGAGATCTGGCACGTTGTTGGCTTCTGCCACTGGGTTGGGCTCGCCGCGCTGGTCCGCTTGGGTGGAGTGGAAATATGTGTCGTCCAGCCGCCAGCCCGCCTCCACCTGCGCAGAGTTGACCTGCGTCAGCCCGATGACGTCTTCGAGACCCTTCAACTTGCGGGCGATCTCCGCCTGCATCACACAAAGTGGAGCAGAATGAGGCATCTCGACACTGCAAATGCCCGTGTGCTGTGCTGCGCTGTGCTGTGTGCCCGCGGTGATGGCTGACCCGATGCGCGAAAGGACATATCTTCCCGACGAACAGATGGTAGCGCTTCGACTCGCCCTCGTTGACAGGGAATCGGTCGGTACCCAACACGCCGGTGCTGTGCACATCCGTGACATAGCACAGCTCCTCCTCGTCCGTGCCTGCCTTGAGCTTCTTGGCTGCGGGCTCCACGCCATTGGACGCCACGGTAGCCATGGTTGAGTGAGAGAAGAAACAAGCTTGTTGATGCCGGATCTTGATGGATCTGCAAAGTCGACGGTGAAAGAGCATGCAAACGCTCCTTTCCAGGGAAAGGAGCCAGACCGCTGCAAAGCTCAGCTCGCAGAGGAGCGAAAGCCAAAAAAAGGCAACAAATCTGGCAGCCAAATGAGGGGCTACGGCCGCGCAAGACCGTTCTTTCCTCCGCCAGGATCCCAAGAGGACACCGCCGAGTCGTCCGAGATGGATGCACAACAACACACACAGCCAGCGGTTCCGCCTCGGTCGCTGCCGCCGGCGCCAGGGCGCGTGACTGGATGGAATCCCCCTCCTCGAGTCGATGCAGCGCAGCCCGGCCCGTCTCCCGTCAGCATGCGGCAGTCGCTGTCGATGTGTGAGGGCGGTTCAGACAACCATCTCAATGAGCTGATCAGGACCAAGCTGGCTGTGGCAGGCATGCAGGAGCAGAAACTCAGACAGGTCAGTAGATAGATGTCGGCCAACGAACAGACGGCACGCACCTATCCCACGGCTGCCGTGTGATTGTGTATGTGTGTGTGTGTCCTTCATCGATGTAGGAGAAGGATATGCAGGAGATGTCGTCGGATATCGTCAAGCTGGCGAATGAGAAGGTTTCACTGGCGCAGGAGCTGGAGGACGCCAGGGAGCAGAACGAGAGGTGGGGCGACGCTTACCGGAGGGTCCTCCACGAGAAGAAGATCAACGAGGAGGTCTTTCTGGACGAGATACAGACTCTCAGGGCGCAGATCGCCAGCATGGAGCCTGCCGCCACACCCACATCCAGCAGGCATCGCGTCGAGTCCGGCGATGCTGACAAGGACGGCGGGGTGAGCCGCAGCAGCAGCGTCGAGGGCACTCGAGCACATGATACCCAGAGAAAGGTCAGCGGCGCCAAGGACAAGTCGTACTTGAGCTTTGGGGCGCTCTACAAGGGAGGCCGCGGCTATGGCTTTTTCGGAGCCGGTGCTGACGATGGCGACAGCGGGACGATCCTCGACGCAGGGGTGGGTAGTTTGGTGGGTGAAAGGAAGAGGGATACGGCTGATCGCGTGACCATGGATTCCGTCTGTCGTCTTGTGCTGTCGTGTATGCAGGAATCTGTGGTCGATGACACAGACGAGCTGCTCGCCCTGACGGGCCGCAAGTACCGCAAGGACCACCACCTCCATCTCATGCCCACCATGCCCGCACCCCCACCTCCACCTCCAGCCCCCAAGCCGCCTGAGACCGACTCGCCACTCATCGCCATCCCTCCCGGCGACACGGCGGCACCGGCGGCCCCCCAATCCCCTTCACCGCCCCCTGCATCCGATGGCCCGGCTGCGGCAGCCGAGGGCGAGAGGCAGGATGAGGGGGCCATGTCGTCTGTGTGGACGAGCGCCATGACTGCCATGGGGATGCCTGCGTCTGACATCGGCCGGGCCATGATGCAGGGACACTCGTGGAAGTCTTTCTTCAAAGGAGGAGGAAAGGTGCGTGAGAGGGGGAAACAGACAGGACAGGACAGAACGAATGGAATGGATGCCCGCTCTCATGAGTGTCTGTTTGGCCGGTGTTGTTGCTTGTCGTCAGAATCGGCCCAGGACGATGGGGCCCATGGAGGAGGTCGATGTGTGGGTGGAGAAGATCCTTCCCGAGTTCGACGCCTACCGCCACGAGAACCCCAAGCTCTTCGCCTCCCTCATCCGCAAGGGCCTCCCGCAGGAGATCCGGGGCGAGGTGTGGAAGAAGTGCATCGGCAACAAGCTGCAGATCACACCCACGCTCTACCGCATCCTCCTGGGGCGTGTCGAGAAGGTCCGCGACTTCATGATGAAGGTATCCAAGCGATACCGAGACAAAATCAACGAAACGGTCAACGCGGCATCAAGACAGCAGCAGCAAGAGGAGGACAGAAGCGAAGAGACCGAGGCGGCAGCCGAGGCGGCAGGGGCCAGCAGAGAGGACGAGATCGTCCCTGACCCCTCTGCCACGGCAGTGGGGAGCCAGACGGGCGGCGTGCGGCCCGACCACAGCTGTGTCTTCTACGAGAGCGAGATCCTCTCGTCCTTTGAGATGATCGGCATGGACCTCAACCGCACACTCCCGCGGCTGGGCGTCTTCCGCAAACAGTCACAGACAGACACCGATGCAGCTGAGGCGGCAGGCAGCACACCCACCCCTGAACCGCCCGACGATCAGGGCGCGGGAGACGGGTCCATGACCATCACGGTCCAGCAAGACGAGAGCGACTCGGCCTCCCCCTCCTCTCTCAGTCCGTCTGACGACCCCTCACCCCACTCGGCCGCATCGCCAGCCGCTAGTTCACAGTCGAGAGAGCAGCAGGGGGCGAGAGGCAGGCGGGGCCGCATGCGCAACAGGGGCGTGGCTCGGGTGGGTGAGCATGGTGTCGAGATGACCGAAATGGACACGAGGGGCGATGAGGAGAGGGACAAGGTGCGGCCGCCCGAGAGGGCAAAGCGTGTGGGGGTGGCATATGGCGACCCCGGCCATCCCGGCGTGCAGCCGCTGCCCTTTGCTGTGCCGCATGACGGCGTGTTGCACGAGCACCTGAGGACGGTGCTGGAGACGTATGTGCTGTGGCGGCCTGACCTGGGGTACGTGCAGGGGATGGCCTACCTAGCTGCCATGCTGCTGCTGCACATGGACGAGTACTCGGCCTTCGTGTGCTTCGCCAACCTCATGGTCAGTATAGGAAGGGCATAGGGGGGAACGCCTGTCTGCATGACACCCCATCTGTGTGTTTGGGTGTGTGCGTGTCTATGTGTGTGTATCTCCAGCTGCGTCGGTCTCTGCACGCCTTCTACACGTTCGACATGTCGATTGTGGACGTGTACTTCCGCACCTTCGACCACCTGATGAAGGAGCGGCTGCCGTGGGTGGCCATGAAGCTGCACCAGTGCGGCCTCAACTCGGACATGTTTCTCGTCGAGTGGCTCTACACCCTCTTCACAAGGTGCGTGGGTGGGGAGGTGCGCAGAGGCAGCGAAAACCGGCCAGGATGGACACCCTCTTGTGTGTTTTATGGGTGTCAGGTCGTTGCCATTCGCTTTAGTTGCGCGTGTGTGGGACAGCTTTCTTGCTGAGGGCGACACGATTCTCTACCAGGTGAGAAACGAGAGGAACGAATCGCTGCCACGCTGCCGCATGGGAGGTATATCCGTGTCTTCGTCTCTGCCTGCGTGGATGTGCAGACAGCTTTGGGCCTGCTGTGTTACTTCAGCGACGCTCTGGAGAAAGGCAGCCACGACCAGTGCATGGAGCTGCTGTCGTCCTCCTCGGCGAGGCACTACCAGGAAATCGACGTGAGCAACACGATGGACGAGGAGGAAAGACGCACACACACACACACATGCACGTGTGGTTTGTTGGTTGTTTTGGTGTGTCAGTTGGTTCGTTTCCAGGAGTGTGTGGCATCGCTTAAGATCACTAGACAGAAGGTGGAGGACGCCATGCGGCACGTCAAGCGAGAGCTGGAGAAACCGAAGACCCACTCACAAACACACCCACCTACTCCTGACCCCCCCGAGGGCCACCCATCGCTCGACGCGCAGCCCATGGCATCCCCCAGCAGCGACAAAGGCCCTGCTGACGCCATCCCCGTGTCCATTCCCAAGCCAGACTCAGCCCCGTCAACGCACCATAACGTCCGCACGCCCCCACAGACTGGCCGCATCGCCGCCAATCTCGTCAAGGAGACCGACCCACACCCACAGGCCTATCGCGTGAGCGTGGCGCACAAGCCTTCAAGTGGGTCTGGGAAGGACAAGCGGGGCGGCGGGATGGGCATACTTGGTGGGGGCGGCAAGGGCGGTGGCGGCGGCGGGCTGGGTGTGTCGTCGTTCAACCCTTTCAAGATGAAGATCAAGAAGAAGAGCAAGCACGAGAGCAGCGACGACCGACACCAGGTGCCGCCGCCGGACGCGCGGACGATCATGCCGATGATGCGCAGAGAGCCCGACGCGCAGGAGGACACGGAGGTCAGCACAATGGCGGGCAATGTGGTGCAGCAGCCTCAGTCAGGAGAAGAGATGGCCAACGTGGCGACAGACGACCTCGAGAGCCGCGAACTTGAGGGAGGGGGAAGTGGTGCTGGTGGTGGCTCTCCTGAGGCCTCGTTAGAGGAGGCCCCTGACAGCCTGACTGCACCCGATATTCACAGCGGTCCGGTTGATGAGAAGTGACGGTGGGAGGGAGGTGCTGTTGAAGAGAAGCAGTGAGGGAGTGAGTGAGGGCATCTCACAGATAAGGCGACGGTCAATGAGGGATTGATTGTTTGTTGGTCAGTCAGTGGATGGCTGGGAGTGTGGCGTGTATCGATGGAGGGAGGGTGTGATCGACAGGGAGCGATGGATGCTGCAACCGTTCATCGCAGACAACACACGGGGCCGAACTGATCCCACAGTCTTGTTCGGCCCCGTGTGTTGTCTGCGATGAACGGTTGCAGCATCCATCAACGCACACTCGCGATCGATTCAGCTTGAATGGATTGATAGACGTTGAAGTGCGGCTGACAGTCAGACAGCCAGGCAGACAGGGCATGTGTGTCGACGCTACTTCGGTATGATGCTCCAGATCTTGGAATAAACTGAAATGATGCGTACGCAAGGCAGAGAGTGTCCACACACACACATATAGGTCTGTCTCGTTCTCCACACGTGCACGAGGAGGCGAGTGAAATATGACTTGATCAACGCGCATCGCCCCATCAGCATTTGGGACTCACCTTCTTGTGCGCCTCTGCGTCTGTTGACGTGCGTGTGTGTGTGTGGCTCCGCTCTCTCTCGGTAGCGCAAGTAGTCGGAAAGCTTAATGTAAGAGCAAGTAGCCGGAAAGCTTAATGTGTCCTCCTGATGTCACAAAGAGTCATGCATACGTATATGTGTATATGTGTATACGTATATGTGTGTATGTACATGAACACATATCAATATGTATTAAACGCACACACGCAACATGCACATAAATAAACTGTGTACGTACGACCTCGCCTATAGCTACACCTGCACTGCATCGTGATCGTCCCAGTGTCACAAAGAGTCATCGAATGCACACACACACACAACAATTTGGCTGACATTGTGCTTGACAGGCATTGTGCTTGACAGGCACATGATAATCAAGTTGAGACACATGTAAAGGTCCGTTGCATGAACACGTCCATTCTCACTCACATCCATGCATCCACAGCGAGCGGCACACCTTGCATCTCTCCCGACTGAACACACACACAATCAAGACACACACAATCAAGACAGCACCTGCGTACCGTGGGTGCGTGTGGAGTGGCTGATGTGGGCTGCAGGTGCCAAAGACAGACGGACGCTGGCACGTCCATAAGACGCTAACAGACACACACACACATCTGCAGGGAGGAAGTGCGTGTGTATGTGCCTTTTTGTGTCTGTGTCAGCTTATCTGTTTCTGGGTCTCATACTCGCGCTCAACCTGCAAAGAGACTCGAATCGAAGGGAGAGGCAAAGGCCTGAGGAGAGACACAGACAGAGAGAGAGAGATAGATAGATAGACAGAGAGAGACATAGGTGTCTACCTGCTCGATGACAGATACCATGAGCGGTGTCTTCTCACCGACCGATCCATCATCTTTCATAATGGTTATCTCAAGCGTACCATTTCTTCCTGTCGTGTGCTGCCTGTCGCTCACCGAAGACTCCAACCAGATCGCCGACCATCTGCAGACGCGCACAGAGAGAGAGAGAGAGAAGCAAAGCGAGACACAGATATGGACGGCTGGACTGTAGAGCCACGTGGGCTTGCTCACCGTGATGCCGTCGGCCGCGTAGCACACTCGCCGTTGAAAGAATCCTGCTGGGCTGAGAGCGTCGCTGGTGTAAGAAAGAGTCCACAAATATAAAATGTAGGCAGCAATTGACCACAACGCCCCAACGTGAAGCCGCTCCAGTATCCTAGTGGCCGTGGCCAGCTCACACCCAGCCGACTCGTCGTGTGGTAATTCAAGTCAGCTGAAAGCCTACAAGGATGATGGTGCATACACATACAGCGTGTCCAATTTTATGAATGCCACACGTTATACGCACAGGTCAGTTCCTAACAGATCTGTTAGGACAGGTGGGAGTGAAAACTGACTGACTGGCTGACTGATTGCTCACTGAACTGGAAAGTCTCTGTGGCTTCCCGGTCGTTGGGGTTCTTGTCGGGATGACACACACGCGCCAAACTCAAGTACTGCTTCCTGCACACACACACGCACACACACAGACATTCATCACGTTGCCGTCTCTGTCAGCCGACAGTCGCATCACCCACCGGATTTGTGCGTATGTCGCGTCGGTCGGCACCTTCAGACGATCATAGTATGCCGCCTCCCTGACAACACGCGGCTCGACTGACGCCCCACCACCATCACCAGAGGGGCGATCGCAAGTGGGTGGCGGCGAGAGGGGAAGACACTCATCCGACCTCAAACTCAGCAACGGCTCAACCTGACCACACACACACAAGACACAGAGACATACACATGCGCAACCGCTCACTTACCGCATCAGTGGGGGGAAGTTGCTCCTGCCGTCCTTCGCCCGACAACAGCGCCTTAGCCGGCTCGATGGGGGAGGCGGCGGACTGGCCCTCCAGACACAAGAAACCCGACGCGCATGCGATGAGCTGACTGGCCCCGTTCTGGCACAAGAGGCCTCTCAGACAGACAGACAGACAGACAGACAGCCAGACAGACAGCCAGACAGACAGCCAGCCAGACAGACAGACAGCCAACAAAGAGACGGGAATGATCCCGACGGCTGTGGTGTGGATGTGTGAATGTCACGTTCTGACCTCGTGTTCCTGGCTCGGTATCTCGTTGTGCTCCTCCTGCTGCGTCCGCCACTCGATGGCCTTGACTGCACCGCTGAACATCACACACACACAGAAACAAACACACACACACACACACACAGAGAGAGAGAGAGAGAGAGATTCAGAGACGGGCATGTCTGTGTGTCGTGTGTGAGGCCTGTAGGAGAGTACCTGTGCGGCCATCGTGGGGCGCATGAGTTGGTGGGTATGGGGCTGACGTCGCTGGGTTGGAGGCCGTGGCGGACGAAGGGCCAAGATCCGCATCGGACGCCACCACCTGACTGAGGACCTCCTGCACACATCCATCCATCCATCCATGATGCCACGCAGACGCACACACACATTATGGGATGGGCTGCTGGTTGTGAGTGAGTGAGTGAGTGGATGAGTGGATGAGTGCCGACCTTTCCATAACGGTCGTAGTGCATGCGACTCTGGTCGCCGCCCAACATGCCACGCGGTGCATTGCGGTTTCTCTAGTCCTTGTCCATCCGCACTGCACAGGCCACCGGGGGCCCACACGCGAGTGATACCAGTCAGGCAGAGAGGCCGATGGCAGCCTGTGGGAGGCTGCCATTGGTGAAGAGGGGCAAAAACAGCGCAGGCTGCTCCAAATCTGCTGAGAAATGGTAAGAAAATCACTGAATGACAAACGTCGTCCCTGTCTCCCGGCGAGAATTCTCGACAAACATTCAAAATTCTTCCTGGCAAGCCTCATTTCAAATTCTTCCCCCTCCCCAACCGCCCAAGGGCTGGACACACGTGATGAGCTGACGGGCGAGCGATGAAGGTGGCAAATTTTAAGGGGCAGAGGGGGAGGGAAGTGAAGGCGATGGATGCGGGGTGAGTGAAGGAGAGGAGGGCGATGGATGGATGGACGAGCCGGATGAGATGGATGGATGGATGAGTCACTCGATCGTCCATCAGTCAATCATTCGATCGATCCATATGGCTGCGGCCATACAATAGCGGCCATAGGTACACACAGTCTGCAGCAGCTATGTGTGTGTAGGTACGGACGTACATTTTGTGCCACAACGCCTCACAAACGACAGACTCGTCAATATCGAGGGCGCCCACAAGTCATAAGTCCCTCCCGGCCCTCACAGTACTCACACGCACCATATTCACGCACACATGCACGCGCAACTCTCTCCCCTCCTCTGTATATGGATGAATCTATCTTTTGTGTGTGTATGCTGCTTGTGTCAACAAAGTCGGACTGCCTCTCCTCTCTTGCTCGCTGACCGACACACTGCGACACTCCCGACTCACTCACTCGCCAAAAACGCTCACATGGATGGACTCCGTAGGTGCTTCAAAAAGGAGAGGAGACAGATGCGATGTGGTGTGGTGTGGTGTGTGGTCTGGTGTGGTGGGTGGGTGGGTGGGTGGGTGGGTGGCCGACTGTCCATCTATCGCGGACACGCAGACAGGTGACGTGCACACACCCCTAGACGTCACGCCAATCAAAAGAGCTCAGTCGGCCCACATGGACGTATGCATGAATGGTGTGTGCATTGATCCGGATGGTATTCCCCAAATGGCCCCCGAGCGAGTACCACTGGCACACAGCGCAGGGCCCCCACACGTGCTCAGTATGCATTGCAGAACAGACCACCCACCGTAATATACACATACACGCCATTATACACACACAGACACGCCGCACACACGCACGTAGGTCTTGTCCGTTCGATCGCCGGGCCTTCAGGTCAGATGCAGAGCTCACTCTGAGGAATTCCCGCCTCAAATAGTTGCTTGATCACCTGAACCACACACAAAGCACACAGCAACAGATGAATGGATAGATCGATCAGCAGAGAGGTCGCTGGGCGCCCCAGTGTTACCTCTCTGATGAGTGTCTTGGTGGTTTTGTTGTGCGTGTCGATGTCGTCTTTGCAGCCGGTGACGTCCGACTGGACGCCGATGAGGTACAGCTTTCCGCCCAGAAAGATGGGCGAGATGTGCAGCAGATTCGTGAAGGTACTCTTGTCGCGACGCTGATTCAAGATCGTCACCTGACATGCGCACACCCAGATAGGCACACAAGCGCAAAAACAGAATATGCAGTATCGAAGCCTTCCCTACTCTCTCTCTGTCTGTCTGTCTGTCTCTGTCACTCACCACGAGGTCCTCATGCATCTGTACAGTTGTGGCGTTTTTGAGTCGGTCGACGTAGTCATGGATCTCTCTTACCGTCTCCGTCGACGTCTGGTCGCACTGTAGCAGCCGGCAATTGACCCCTGCAGGCAGAATCCCCCGCACAGCACATGGGATGATCGATGTCCATGTATTAAGTGTGTGTACCTATCAGCTGCCACGGCTCATAGCCCGTCAACTCGCAGAATCCCTTGCTCACCGCCACCTTGTGTGCAGACACACAAACAACCGGCCGTCATGGTGCATGTTCACGCTGTCCACTGCAGTGCTGCACCCATTCCTCGATCCTCACCATAGGGCAATCTCTCATTGTGAGGTCGCAGAGGACGGTCGAGAAGTGCAGCGACTGGAACCGCTTGGTGGCCTCCTCTATCGCTTGGTCGTCACGCGACCGGCTCGACATCATCATGTGCAGACGCTGCTTGAGCTCCTCAACTGACACACGAAAGTCACAGATGGCCCGCCCATTCCCTCTCCCTGTCATGTGAATGGTCTGTGTTCACCTTGCCCCTCCAGCTCTCTCACGCGGGCCCTCAGCTGCTGGTTCTTCCGCCGCTCCTCGGCCAGAGCAGCCACGACCAGTACGTTCTCGGCCTCACTCACCAGACCACCCATGGGATGCATGCCGAAGATCTCGGGCGGCAAAATGGAGGCCGCAGCGGCAGCTGCTGCTGCTGACGCTGCTGCCTGGGCGCCAGGGGCATGATGATAGGGATGGGCGAGGAAGGGAGGGACGATGTTGCTGGCAATCTTGCCGCATGTGGGGTGCATCTGCTGTGGTGTAGACAGCCTCGGCCGCTTGTTGGTGTTGAGCTTGGGATCTTGGCATGCCTCCTGCTGCTCAGCCTCGTCCGCTTTGTCCTCCTGCAACTCAGTGCCGGGTGCTTCGGTACTTGCCGCAGCGGCTGCAGAAAGAGGAGCCACCTGCGGCTCTCTCATCATGGCTGCCTTTGCCGCTGTTGTTGTGCGCTACCCTTGCCTCGTCGCAAGCTTGAGCTCGCGAATGAGGGCGGTGCCGCCTCATGGTGCGTGGCTCAGGGACCACATCGCTGACCTTTCAGTGCAAATGCACAATCACGCAACCCGGTTGGTTCACCCAGCTGTCAGACTCGCTGGCTGCACACAGGATGATCTATATGTGATGGATCTGTGGCACGCTGCGCTGCCCACTGTCATGCAGGTGACCGGCTTGGCGTCGTTGGGAGTCACGATGCACTGGGCAGCTGGGACACTCGCAAAGCAGTGGTGCTGACAACAGATGGCGACAGTTTCCCCGTCTGGAATTCCACCGAGGTGCTGCTGCCCGCCGCAGGACGTATTCACTACAAGTACGTCGTCTCTGGGGCACGCAATGGGACCGTCTTGTGGGAACCTTTCGATGGTACTCAGTGTCTGACCACACCACATGTCTGTCTGCTGTGATGACTGACATACCACATGTCTGTTGCCATGCCATGTGTGTGTATGTGATGTGATCATTGCCAGGTAATCACGATGTGCAAAGCCTCCCGAAGGGATGCTTCTCTATCCTTGACGAGTTCGGTAAGTGACAGCAGTGACTGACACACGGGCGGCGTGTGTGTCTGTGTGTCATGCATGTGCCTTTGTGTGGCTGTGCTGTGTGCAGGTGTGCTGCCGAGGTTCGTCCTGCTGAGGCCATCAAGCGCCCCTCTACCAAGCAGCTCCCCCAGTCCCGACACCCTCCATGCGTCTGTTCACCAGCTGCCCACATCCATCATCCGGCGACTGTTCACTCTGCTGGACGGCCGCAGCATGTGTCGACTCTGCCGGTGCGGCAGCTGGGTCAGGGATGCCCACATGGAGCCACTGGTGGCCGCAACGGAGTCACATGGCCTGGTTGGCGTCGTCCGGTTCGACAAGTGGCTGGTGGGTCGGCAGCTGAGGGCTGCTTTGAGTGTGGTTGAGGTGGGGCATGGGCCAGGGAATGGGTGGTGGTGGATGAAGCGCGTGTTGGTGCTGGTGGGTCAGTGCCGGTCATGTGAGCTGCCCGTCACTGTCAGCATCGACGCTGCCAGCAACCACCCACACGCGCCATCAAATGACGATGTAAGCAGGCAGAGATACACACTACACTCTCTCTCACACACACGGACACAGACACACGCGTTGTGCTCTCATCTATCTCATTCAGGCCTTCATATGGCTGCTTTGGGTAGTGGCGCAGTCGATACGCAAGGCCCCCAGGCAGCAGCAGATCCCAGCAGCTGCGCCGCGGGCAGTGCCGATGGCCAGCAAGCCGTTGGCCAGCCCCTCCATCTCGACCGTCTCAAGCACCGTCGACGGCAGCCCTGTGAATGCGCATGTGGCCCATCGGCATGAGGGAAGCAACCGGGGAGTGGCGAGGTGCGTCATGAGGGCCGTTCTGCGATACATGCCTCGCACAGGTGGGTGAGGTGAGGGAATGACGGATGGATGGATGGGTATTGTGTGTCGGGATGTGTTGTGTGCGCAGGCGCCTTTTTGGTGCTGACGTGCCCGGCCATCGATGCGGTCGTCTGGTGAGGCCATCCTGACCGTTCAATTCATTACTTTTGTGTAGATAGGCAGACGGCCCGCCCTGGCGGGCTGATTTTGACCGATGGCGTGGCGGCGATGCGCGAGATGCTTCGACGGTGTGTGCGTGTGTGTACTTTATTGGTGACCGTATGTATGTATGTCGTCCGAATGCATCCATCCCTCTAATCTAAAGATCGTGTGTGTCTTATTTGTATGCTGTCTGTGTCTGTGTGTGTGTTTAGTCGGTGTGCAGTGCATGTGTGCCCCTTTCTATATAAGTGCATGTGTGTCTAGTGACTAGGAAGGACGTTTTATACCCATTTAACCAGTGGACGGATCGAACGAGTCCAGCACAGCACCCTCCCTCATCAGCCGTCCGTCCGTCCATGTGTTGTGTGTCCCCCATGCCCCCATCCCGTCCCGTCGTGCTCACAAATACAGCGATGCGGCGAACACAATGCCCCTCCTCAGCTTGGTAACGCCCTCCCGCATCTTGGCCTCCATCTCGTCGTTGCCTGCACACACACATACATACTCCATCCACACACATGCGGACACCCATCAGTGGCTCTGTGTGTGGCGCACCGATGGCCTTGGACGCAGCGGCCAGCTGTCTCAGCAGCTCCTCAAGTCGCCTGGTGATAGAATAGACGGCATGGCAGCGAATCGCCGACGGACAGACCGACAGAGCATCAGACAGGGAGGGAGGGTGGGGCAGTGCGTGCGTGTGTGGAAGTGTCTGACCGCATCCCTCTGATGACGGACCCCTCGAACAGCCCGGTGCCGTCGATGACGTCCTTGAAACTCTCGCCGCGCATCCACCGAAGCACCACAGGCATCAACTAAACACACACACACACACATGTGGACAGACAAAAATGTGGCTTGGCTTGTTCAGCGACAGGGGCTGCGTGTGTTGTTCGCGCGTGTGTCTGTGTGTTCAGACGTTTGGTTTGAATTTCTCGAGGTACTCGTCGACTTTGATGGGCAGCTTGCTCTCGGCCGACACCTCAGCTGTCATCTTGGCCACCTCCTGCAGGCAGGATGGCATCCAGGCCATGCCAGGACACACAGAGTCCCGATGAGCACACGGACGCAGGGCAGGTGGGTGGGGATGGATGGACGGGACGCCCGCCCACCTTGATCTGGTCGAACCCCTTGGCGAGCTCAGGGTGCAGGTCGACATGGTCCTCGATCTTCTCGTCAAAACACAGCGCACTCAACGTCGCCACCATGTGGTCAGCCTGACACACACCACACACACACACACACACACATGACGCGTGTGTCATTCATCCCCCTCTCCCTCCCTCCCTCTCCCTCCCTCCCTCCCTCCCTCTCTCTGTGTGTGCTTATGGACCTCCATAGTCTGGAAAGTGTTCCTGAAGAGCAGCTCTGTGACGACCAGTTCCTCGGTGGTGGTGATCTCGCACGCCACCCGCCCCTTGAGCGTCACGACGCCGTCCTTATCGACGTACTGCAGCCGCTTGAGCACCTTGCGCATGGCCCGAAGGTCGTCCTTCATGACGAGGTACCGGTGGCCCGCCAGCTCCGTCTCGAGGCCGCGGACCTGCTCCTCCCGATCGAGGCGCTCACGGTACCTGCAGAGCAGCCAGCCACATGGACGATGAGTGGGCGCGGCGCGTGTGGTGGGGCTGATGGTGTGTGTGTGTGTGTGTGTGCACTTGTCGAGCAGCTTGTCGAGGAGGGGGTGGTTGTGCAGCGGATGGCTGGCGATGTCGCTCTCGCACTGCTTCAGCTTGCTGAATGAATGGAGACCACACACATGAGTATGTATGTGACGCACGGCCGCCGTCACTGTCCCCCTCCCCCCTCTCAATGCACTTCTCCCTCTCTCACTCACTCAATGGTAGGTTGGAGTGTGATGCCGTCGAGCCCCATCTCGCTGATGGGGTCCAGCAGCGGAGGGGAGCCGTCAAAACGCTCCCGGATCTTCTCCATAGTGATCTTCGCCTAACACACACACACACACACGCACACAAACCAACAGAGAGGATCGATCCCCACGCATAGCACTCCCCCGCACACCCACCGGTCCCCCAACGGACTCACATGAGCTCTGCCCGAGGCCTCTTTGTAGTTGATGTCGCCGAGGTTGGCCCGCATCTTGGCCACGCCGTGGATGCAGCTGTCCGACACGGGCATCACCTCCACCACTCTCTCCTGACCTGCCCGCGCCGGCGTCGGCTTCCGAACCGCACTGACCGTCTGTGTCGACCTGAGGTCGCACTCGAGCAGCACGTCCACGATGAACTCGCCTGAGGATGACTGCTGCTGCTGCTGCTGGTGGTTGCTGCTGCCGCTGCTGTCACGGGCTGCTGCTGCTGCCGTCTTGTGAGGCCTGCGGACGGCGCCGGCAACGATGCCCCAGCCCCAGTCGACGCCGTCCTGGTCGACCACATGCACCATCCGGCCTGACACACAGACAGGGCAGGGGCGGAGGAGTGTGTGTGTGTGTGTGTGTGGGTCGGTGGGTGTGGGGGGTAAGGGGTGATCTTACTTACCTGTCTGCATGTATCTTGATATGTTCTCCGGGAGCATGACGATCGACCGGTAAGTCTCCCTGACACACACACCAGACATATACCCCCCATGTGAGAAGCAGGTGGCTGTGGTGTGGTGTGGGCGATTTCATCGTCCATCATTCCCACCTGAGGGCGTTTTGGCGTTCGGTGAGCTTGTGGTACTCGGCGACAGACCTGTTCACGTCGATGTCGGGAAGCGCCACACCTGACGACGCATGACAGCACAGCAATCGCGTGCAGTACATCCATTGCCTGACGTGACGTGGCGTGGCGTGTGTCTGTTGTATGTGTGTGTGTGTGTGTGTGTGACCTTCGGGCATCTCGATAAGCGGGACGATGTCCTCCATGCCCTCAGCCTTCACACACACACACACACACACACAGATCGTCGTCTCCCTCACAGTATCTCTGTATGCGCTTGTGCGTCTGTTGACCTCTTCCTTGAGCTTCTTGCAGAGCTCCTGGATGCCCAAAGCACGCCTGGCACACACAGGGGTCGTGACATGAACACATCCACACCTGTCTGTCGGGGTGTGTGTGTGTGTGTAGGCTGGTCAGTCAGGTCCCTCCCTGACTTGTCTCTTTGGAACTGGTAGAAGCTCCTCTGTATCATGTATTCGGGGTCGGCGCCCTCCACGCGCATCAGGTTCAACAACATGTTGTAACTGATTGACACACACAGGAGAGAGATGGACGAACAGCCTGCAGGTCTCTTCTTAGCTAGTGAGCAGCCAGCCGTGGTGTGTGCTGTGTTGTGTTGTGTGTACCCACCCTAGGTGGAATTGGCTGTCGAGTCTGAGTGCCTGGCCTGTGAACATGCCCTTGGCCGTCTCGGGCTCAACTTGCTCGTCAAACATCAGGATCGTGAAACCTTCAAGCCACACAGCATTCATCCGGCGCATGACATGATATGCCTCATCTCCACGCGCATGCATCTATCGCATTCCTCCCTCCCTGCCCGCCTCACCTCTGTCATCGAGGCCTCTCCTGCCCGCCCGGCCACTCATCTGAATGTACTCACCTGAACACACCAACAGACAGAGAGGTGGACAGGATCTCACAGGTGTCCAGATGTGTGTGAGATCATTGCTTTGCTTTAATTACCGCTGTTGATCCACCTGAACTCCTGCCCGTCCCACTTCTTGATGCTTGTGAAGACCACCGTCTTGGCGGGCATGTTGACGCCCATCGAGAAGGTCTCCGTCGAGAACAGCACCTTCAGCAGACCCTCCTAGACACACACACACACACACAGCACAGAAAGACCAAAGATCAACCCATCGTCGGCACAAGCCAACACACAAGAAGACAGGCACAAGCTAAGCAAGGAGATCTCTGCGGATCTATGCGAGCTACGGCTGATGAGGGTTCCAAAAGCACACGAGAGGCTGCTCGGCACAACGGGAGCGGTCTTGGAGAGAAAACGGCTTCATCACAACTTTGGCAAAACGCTCCCTGACGGGCTCGAACCGTCGACCTCGAGCTCATAAGACTCGCGCTCTAACCAACTGAGCTAAGGGAGCTACGCCCGCGTGGGGATCACTCAAGGTCTTGACTGATCTCTCTGTCCATCATCTGTCCTTGGAATTTCGCCCTCCGTGTGGTGTGTGGCGCGGTGTGCTGACCTGGAAAAGTATTTCGATGACCTCCTTGATGATGGGGAGGAGCCCGCCGTGGTGGATGCCGATGCCGCGCATGAGGAGGGGTTTGATGTAGAGGATCTGCGGGAGGGCCCTGTCCTCGTCGGCCAGCGTCTTCATGGCGTTGTCGAAGATCTGCTCCACCATGCGCTTGTCGTCATCTCCCTGGGTGGGTGACCAAACACACACGCAGAGAGGTGCGCGCGAGGAGACGGCCGGGCGTGTGTTTGTGTGTGCGGTGTGTGTGATACGCACGAGAAGGTCGATTTTCTTCATGGCGACGGCGTTGCCCTCCACGTCACGCTTGGAGAAGGAGAAGATGATGGCCGGCGTATACGACCTGCACACACACATCCACACATACAGACAGACAGGCACAGATGAGCGCACATCCGCCCCGCCATGGATGGCTGGTGTGGTCTGGTGAAGTGGTGCGCATGTGCATATGTACTTTTCGTGGCACATCTTGACGATTTTCTCGAGGTCGCTTCGGTTGCGGTCCCTGTTCTTGGCCAACTGTTTCTTGGTCAACATCTGACACACACACCCGCACCGCGCGACAGATGCACCGCGGTGCACATCACATTTATCGTATGTATCGAGCTGCACGCAGACAGACATTCATGCGGCCGTCCGTCCCATCACACACGTGAGCCGACCCTGCTGCGCTGCGTGTGTGGTGTGCATTGCCAACAATTGGTGCCTACGGTGCCCACATACCTTTTGGTCTTCGATGTCCTTGCCGATGCTGGCGACGGCCTCGGTGAAACGCGACTCCTTGAACTGATCGATGAGTCACCCACCCATCACACGCGCACATACACACGAGAGTGCCATCCATCCATCCATCCATGTACTCCCCGCC